GTCACTAGCCTACGCTACTTTTACCTGAAAAAGTGAATGTGCAACTTACTAATGAGAGGAGCCGGAGCCTCTTCGATAATTTTCTGATGCCTTCTTTGAACAGAACAATCGCGCTCCCATAGATGAACGTAGTTATTATGATGGTCACCAAACACCTGTAAAAAACTTCATACATCACAACAGACAAAAATTCCAATATGAATAAGAAACAAAGACCTGCAACTATGTATTTTTCTCAAAAAAAAAACTATTCGCACAAAAAAAGTAGCACAAAAGGTAATAACTGTAATGATCAAATAGAAATCTGAGGGAAATCGAAAATGAAGGAATTTGTGCATAAGATTTACAGAATACATAAGATCGAAATTCTCACATACTTGCACTTCGACGTGACGAGGCCTCTCCACAAACTTTTCAACAAGCATCTCATCATTTCCGAAAGATTTCATGGCCTCGCTTCTAGCAGAAGCGAGCTTCTCATTGAACTCCGACGGAGACCAAGCTATCCTCATACCTTGAAAGCGCAAGAGTAGAAATGATTTCGAAGGTGCAGAGATAATGAAATGAGCGTACCCTTGCCACCTCCGCCGTAAACAGCCTTGAGCATTACAGGATAACCTGAATGGAAAATGATTTAGATAGATCGAAATCTAAAAAAGATTAAAAACCTATTTTCTCCGCATGTGCCCTCAAGTTGTCATCCGACTGGTCAGATCCATGAAAACCTTGAACAACTGGTACCTAAAATCCCTCGTTATTTATTCTTGAAGAGCAGAGCGCCTGAAAATACCTTTGCATCTTGCATGATTTGCTTTGCAAGGCTTTTAGTGCCCATATCTCGAATAGCCTTCACGGGAGGTCCTATAAAGACGATACCAGCCTCGGCACAGCGTTCAGCAAACTTTGCATTTTCAGAGAGAAAGCCATATCCAGGATGGATGCCCTCAAAACAGACTATTCACTTTACCTTTGGCACACGCTATAGCTGATGCAGTTGACCAACTTGATCCACTTCGTCCACTCGCTACTGGTCGAATCAGTGAACTGACCAATAGCGAAGTGGATCAAGC